GTGGTTATTTCTTTCCCTCGAACGCCTGTTATCTAAATATAATTAATTTAATTTAATTTTTTGAAGAAAAATATTACTAGAATTTCTAGCAGAAATGTAATTTCCAGTACAATTATTATAATCTGCATCGTAAGCACGGTTAGGGGACAATTGCTCATATTCTGGTTGTGCATTATGACTAGAAATTCTCTCAAGTGAACGTCCTCTGCCTAAACATAAATTAATTGGTTACTCTGAAAGCTCATTAAGACAAGAAAAATAAAGGTTTCAGTTACAATCTTCATCATTCGCATAATCAGCACGAACGGAATGATGCCTTGAATGTTGAGACCAATAATGAGTAGGTGGAGAGTAAGAACGTATTGGAGAACGATCATAGTGGTAATAATGCGTATTCGAGGCCTGGTGAAAGAATTGCAAGTTTACCAAAAAAAGCACCTTTTTTAAATTTATTAATACGCACTAACATAGAAAACATCGAACCGTAGATTTCTTCATGGTTTTTAATAGCAATACTGTGAGGAGGAGTTCTCGAAAGACGATATTTAAAAAATTTTAGAGGTACATGCTCACGCTTATACTTATACTTGCGCACTCGCGTATCGTCCGGATTTATCAACAGCTGGAAACGCGTATCTATGTTTGGTTGACACGCCTTGGTAAATGATGTTTGCCCCGAAGTCACAAAGCCGCATGAGCGATGACTAACTGCATTTTGAATGACTAACTGCATTCAAAGTAGTCTGGTCGCGCGGATATCCAATTAAAATGTAATACGCGAAAATTTCATAATACTGTGAGGGGGTCAAAATATTTGGTCACATTTAGCTACGAATTTTTACATTTACGAGTATTGTTTGTATCACGTTGTAAAACCTGTCCTGTGAGAATGTAATTAAATTGTACCACATAGTTTATTCTGTGACATGAACGAATAAACGTCGCAAAATTCTAATTACTACTGTAATCGGTAACAATAAGTGATTCGATTTTCATAACTAACACGCGCGCGAAAACTTTGCCAAAATAAAATTTATCTCATGACATAAATACTTAAACACGCGAAATATGCATCTTTTCAGGTAAAAAAAAGTACACGCAATTTTCAAAATAATTATTGGTGATACGGAAACGAATAATAAATAAATAGCCCTCAGAAGCCGGATTCAAAAAACATAAGAACTTAATATTCTTAAGCCTCTTAAACCTTTTAAACCAGCGACACTCAATTATTTCAACATGAGAAAGCGATCTATTTTTAATACTTATGATAATAAAGAAAATCCCCATCGACCATTGCATTCAAAATGGCAAAAAACGTCACAAGCTGATATGCATACAAGAATGGCAAGGACCCTTCGCACATCTGTTCAATGCTTTTGTAGTGAGTGCAATGGTTGTCTGCGTGATCCTAGGATCAAGAAAACCCATGAAATTGAAAGTAGTCTTCAAACCCAGCAGACGATGGATGATACTGCAAGCATCTGTAGTGAAGAAATACCCGAAATATTGAATTTCACTGCCGATGAATCGTTATGACACCCACACCACTCCAGACCATTTGTGGTAGTTTCATCCTGTACCACAGATAGCGATGATGACAGTGAATATGATGACGAATGTGTTAATATCGAAAGTGAGACTGAATCTGATAATAATGGTGCCGAAAGCGAAAGTGTTGCAGAGGATGAATCATTCGAAGCTTTTGGTACACATTCATCCAATTCTACAGATGACAATGAAGACGACGACGTTACATTTAACTCAACTGAAATGGAACATTTCATGTGGATTATTTTATTTTTATTCAAGATGCAAGTACACTTTAAAATACCTACAACACACATTGACATATTCATCAAATTTTTACGGATAATATTAATCGATATTGACAAACAACGATTTGCATCATTCCCTAACTCAATCTATGTTGCAAGAAAACTTATTCACCTTCGTGATTTGTTTAAGACATATGTTTCTTGTTCAAAATGCCACACTCTTTATGACCTCCGCCAAACTGTTAACTATAAACAAGATGGACAGTTAGCAATACGTAAATGCAGTCACATCGAATTTCCTAATAACAGAAACCATATCACTGAATCTTGCAACTTTCCATTGACAAAACAAATCAGGTTGTTTGGTAATAGGATAGCAAATAAGCCTCTGTCATTATTCCCTCTTGGCAGTCTTAAAGACCAGCTAAAAAGTATGTATCAAAGACCTGGATTCGAAAAAATGCTAAGCCATTGGAGAACACGGCAACTCCCATCAACATTCATTAGTGACATTTACGATGGAAAACGATGGAAAAATTTCGCCGATAAAAACAATGAACTATTCTTCAATATAGCATCGGCTTCCACTCACTTGGGACTTATGTTCAACCTAGATTGGTTCCAAATGTTTTCATCGTCTACACACAGCACTGGCGCTCTTTATGGTGTAATCATGAATCTTCCGCCTAATGAAAGATTCAAACCAGAAAACATGTTAGTTGCACTGATTATGCCTGGCCCTAGGGAAGCAAGCCTCCATCAAATAAACAATTACATCTCACCTTTTGTTAATCAGCTCCTGGATCTCTGGGATGGCGTTTCATTAATAACGAATGATTACCCAGAAGGTTCAACCATTCGGGCAGCTCTTATCGGCCTTGCTTGTGACTTGCCTGCTGGACGGAAACTCTGTGGCCATATCTCATATAATACTGCATGCCACTGGTGCTATAAGACAGCAGATTCGTCTCGTAGTTTTGGTGGGTTTACTGACATGGGAGAATGGTTCAGACTTCGTAATGCAACCAAACATCGGGAGGATGCAATGGCTTGGCATGCCTGTCAAACAAAAAACGCTCGTAAGGATCACGTGTCAAAAACTCATGCAAGGTGGAGCGAACTTTTACGACTTCCCTATTTTGATCCTATTACATTCCTTCCAATTGATGGGCTTCATAACCTATGGCTGGGTGATGGGTCATGGTTAATGAAAAGAATATGGATTGAAGAAGGGAAAATAACAAAACGTAAACTGCAGATTATATCATCCCGTCTGAAGACTCTCACAACACCACCTGATATTGGACGGATGCCAACAAATAAGGTCGATGTTACTGATGGCTTTGTTGGCCTGACAGCTGATGAATGGAAGAACTTCTATCTTGTGGCAGCTGCAGTTGTATTATATGACTTGCTTGAGGATGAAGTAGACCGACAGATTCTCACTTATTTCATTCGTGCTTGTTCGATTTTTGTCTCTAAGATATTAACACCACGGTTATTAGAAGAGGCACATCAACTTGTAATTAAATTATTAAGGCTTATTGAGGAAGCATATGGAAAGGCAAAGATCTCGCCGAATTTGCATCTTACCTTACATATTGCTGAATCATGTCTACTCTATGGTCCATTGTCTTCATTTTGGTGCTATGGTTATGAAAGAATGAATGGCTTTTTGGGTAAGTAATCAAAAATCGAAAATTAACAAGTTAAGAAAGTAACTAAAGCAATTATTCTTATAGGTAAAATACCTAACAGCCAACGACATGTGGAAGTAGAGATAATGCGTTATTTAATGAACGGGATGCAACACAATGTCAATTTGGGGGTTTTGGGACAAAACCACCAATATTGGTATTAGTGTGCTGGCCTCTCTAGAGCCTTAA